TTTGTTTATTTTTCCTTCTGATCAACAATGTCAATCATGATATTAACGACCAAACCACATTTGTAGTACTACATCATTCCATGGCCCATGGCCACGAGGAAGAGCTTCATTTAGAAAACCAGTCTCTTTCCACTTTTAAAGCTAAGGACCACTTTTATATTTTAAAAAAGCTTCCATCTATTTTTTCCAGGAGCACACAACTACCACCAATCTGACGTCTTCCGTTCAAAATTTAAAAAATTTTAACATGTAGACCTCCAATGACATTTTTTTTCCAGTACAGGGACGATTTCTAAAGAAAAAGTAATTGAGGGACCTGCCATGAATTTAATCATATGAATTTCGGGCATCAAGATCAAGAATTTTTCCTAATCACGTACAATAGCAAAAACAACACCAATAAGAAGTTACCTGTAATGTAAACAAGCCTACTGTAAAGAGGAAATAAAGAAATCTTTATGTCAGAGCATTATTATTGGATAAAAAATTTTACATGTGAATTGATCAATGTTTTTTGCAGGAAAAAAATTTCCACGCTACATTATTTCTCTAAAATAAAATTGTCTCCAAGGATGAGCTCCAACAAATTGGCATCTTCCCCATGCCTTATGGGGAACATCATTTATCACAAATGAAAATCTTCCTCTGGAAATTGGTCTCTGAACTCTAAAGAGATCTAATCCAAATTATTAAATAAGCTCACACCTATTTAATTTACATGTCGTTCAAGCATATTCCTGGGGAGGCGGCGAGTGTCGTTAAGACTACGTTTGGTAAGAGGAAAAAAAAATAGGAAGGAAAGAAATGCATATAACCCATGTAAGGAAAACAGAGAGAAAGGAGACGACCTTTCTCTTAATGTATTTGGTGTGGACTCCATCCTCTAATCTCTCCAAATACTCATCGCTTTATATTTGGAGAGATTGAAATTGGACCACTTTGAAGGATTTGAAATCCTCGCACAATTTATTCCCATCTCTTTTCTCTCTGACCAAACAATTACTGGTAACAAAATCCTTCCACTGTTCCCTGTCCCTTCTCACTCCTTCCACTTTTCTCTCCTGCCGAACAAGCTCTAAGCACTTTTTAGCCTTCCCCTTGTTAGCAAAAGATACCTTCTGATTGCAACTATAAGAACCCAAGTAGTATTGGTGATTTTCTCCTTGATCATCAAGAGCAATGCTGAGCTCAGAACAGTCTTCAAGATCTGAGCCTGCAGTCCCTTGAAGAAGCCGAGTACCCCTTCAGATTTCCATATAGAGTAGAGAACACCGAGCACCGTTTTCTGAGACTTTGGCCGCGGTTTTTTGATTCCGTCATAATCGTCATCTGGTTCTGCTGCTTGTATCATGACCTTACACCTGTAATGAGTAAACATTTTAGTAACATTCATAAATCAAGCTCAAAACTCACGTGCAGAATTTGAGAGCACAAGTATAAACCTGATTGCAGGATAAGTCAGAAAGGTAGCAACACTCTTCGAGGCTGCCCCTAATACAAATGCGGAAAAGGCAGAAAGAGCTTCAGGGGATGAACCCTTGTCGCGTTTATCCAACTTTTGCTTCAGGAGTCTTTGTTTTAGCTGATCAAACACTGTATACTGAAATGTATACATATCAAATATCAGTCTTTAAAGGTAACTTAACAAGAGTGTTAAAGCTTCAAAAACTGAATCAAATCATTAATTTTTTTTTTCTTTTTTTTACAAAAAATCTTTTCAGTTAAATAAGGCGAGGATAGCTACCTGAATTGCCGGATTCGACGTAAGCAACAGCGAGATTCCAAGTCCATCAAAAGCATCACTCCAACTTCCCTCTGTAAGGGTATTCCACAATCCCTTGGATTTTCCAAAGGCAGTCGTCTGCATCCTTGAGGAGGCTGTATCAAGGGGCTACACAAAGGTAAAATGGTAATTCATTTCCGTTAGTCTGATTT